CATCATCATCATCATCATCATCATCATCATCGTGTCGCATTTCTCATCCTCCTCCTCCTCCTCTCCTCCTCCTCCTCCTCCTCCTCCTCCTCCTCTTCCTCCTCCTCCTTCACCTCCTCCTCCTCCTCCTTCTCTTCCTCCTCCTACCCCCAAGATGGTCCCAGGAGGTCGAGCATGACTCAAGATAGCCTCCGACAGAGCTCCAAGAGGCCTCAAGACAGCCTCAAGAGGGCCCAAGACAGTTGAGCATGGCTCAAGACAGCCTCTAGTCGAGCATGGTTCAAGATAGCCTCCAAGAGGCCTCCAGAAAGCCCCCGATCGTGTCTGGATGGGCTGGTGGGGATACGCGAAACGTCAGTTGTTTTCGGCGATAACGCGGCTTTTCATGAGGCGGAGGGGGGAGAAGACGGCCGATAACCTGACCTTTTCGCTCTGGGCAGCCCCACGTATGCCCGCGAGCGCCAGCACTGCGTGTCCCTTCGGACCTGCGCAACCAACAAAGTCAGGCTATCCCTGGGGGGGGGGGGGCGGGCCCGACAGCCCGGGTTATCGGCGACCCTGAGAAAACTGCTCCGAAGCTTCTCGCACCACTTTGGAGCCCCCTGAGGACCCCCCCCCTCCGCCCGGGCCTCGCGGGGGCCTGCCCTGAAGGCCGCGGGGGGTCTCCTTGGAAGTCCTGGGGGACGGGGGCATCCTGGGGCCGGGGACGCTGCTTGCAGAACCTGCAAGCTGGAGCGAGGGGGGGGGGGGGGGAGAAGAAGGGCAAAGACATTCGAGTTAGGACGGGCATGCCCCCCTACAGGGGGATTCTGGACGAAACATCGAAAATACACCCCCCCCCCCCAAAAAAATATACTCCGAAGAGCTCCAAAAATAGTCCACAAGCCGTCCCCCGACTATTTTTTCTTACTGCTTCCGGAGATTCCCCCCGTACGGGGGACAGGCCCGACTGCACCTTGGAGGACAGGGCACGGCGGGCGGGCGCTGTGCGCCCCGAGGGGCCTCCGCCCGTGCCCGAGGGCCCCGCGCGGGGGGCACCGCGTGCCCAAGGGGCGGGCCCGCGCCTCCCCGGAGGAGGGCGCCCGCCGCCGGGCCGCGCTCCGGGGCGGCCGGGAGGGGGGGCCCGCCAGGGAAGGGCCAGGGGAGGCGCCCTAACCCAGGAGGGGGCGCCCGCCAGGGAAGGGCCAGGGGGGGCCCGCCAGGGAAGGGCCAGGAGGGGGGGGGGCCCGCCAGGGGGAAGGGCCAGGGAAGGCGCCCCAGGGGGGAGGGGGCCAGATGCGGACCCTGCCCCTGCGCCCCGCGATTTCTGAGGGGGAGGGTGGGGTTCACTTCGTTCGGGGAGCTCCCGAGCGAAGGGAACCCCACCCTCCCCCCCAGAAATCGCGGGGGGCAGGGGCAGGGTTCGCATCTGGCCCCCTACCAGGGGGGAGGGGGGCGGACAGGATGGCCAGGGGGGAGGGGAACCCCAAAAGGTGCCGATGCTGCAGGGGAGGCCAGTGCACAGGACCTGCCACAAGAAGCCCCAGCTCTAAAAAGCGAGTACCGCCGCGGCGACGAGGGCCTTCCAGGCCCAGGCGGCGGGCGAAAACGAGGGGAGGGTAGCACCATCGGTACCTTCTCCTCCTCTTGAGGGACGAGGAGGAGGAGGAGGAGGAGGAGGAGGAGGAGGAGGAGGAGGAGTGGAGGAGGAGGAGTGGAGGAGGAGGAGGAGGAGGAGGAGGAGGAGGAGGAGGAGGAGGAGAAGGAGGAGGAGGAGGAGGAGGAGGAGGAGGAGGAGGAGGAGGGGGGGGAGGAGGGGGAGGGGCGAGTGGTCGGGGGTCGGACTATGAACCACGAGCCGCGAAACTAAAAAGGCTCTGGGCACCAGAGCACAAGTGCGCAAGAGAGTGCAGGTCCCTGGCCAGACCAAAGGCCCGGAGCCTGGGAGCTCCGAGGGGGCCAAGGGGGGGGCCGCAGGGGAAGCGGACGAACCGCGAACCACGAACCACTAAAATACAGGGCTCGGGACGAACGAACCACGAAGAAATAGAAAGGGTTCCGCGGCTGAGGGAGAGGAAGCCAGTGGGGACGCCGCCAGGGAGACTAGGGACGAAGCGCGGACGAAAAGAAAGGGTTCCGCGGCCCGGGGTGGAGGAGACCAGAGGGGCGGGACGAAATACGAACGAACCACGAACCCAAAAACAGGATTCCAAGGCCCAGGGGGGGAGGCCCAGGGGGGAGGAGGCCCAGGGGGGAGGAGGCAAGGGAGGCCCAGGGGGGAAGCGAAAATGAAGAGGTCCGAGCTCTAGAATACAGCTGTGCAAGAGAATGACAAGTTCTGGGCTCTAGGACAGAGCTGTGCAGAAGAATAACATACATGGTGTTATGGTGCTAGTTGGTGCTTGTGTTGTGCACAAGTACTCACACACCAGCGCGTATACATAGTCACGCACACATGCCACACATGCGTGCGTGCATGCACAGTGCTCGGTAGAACATTGAAGAAGTGGTACGATTGCACTGATGGCTGCTCGAGGTGGTGTGGCCACTGTCATGGAGTATGACGTCGTATTTCTCGGGTTTAGCCAAATTTGCTGAAGGCGATTGTGCGGTCCTCCTCCTCCTCCTCCTCCACCTCCTCCTCTTCCTCCTCCTTCTCTCCTCCTCCTCCTCCTCCTCATCATCATCATCATCACCACCACCACCACCATCATCATCATCATCATCAGCAGCAGCAGCAGCATTATCATGATGATCAGCAGCAGCATCAGCAGCAGCATCATCATCATCATCATCATCATCATCATCATCATCATCAGCATCATCATCATCCTCATCCTCATTCCCATCGTCATCTTCATCCTCAACCTCATCATTATCCTCATTATCTTCCTATCCTCCGATCCCCCTTCATCCCCACATGAGACCAGAGGGCGCAGCAGGGGGTCGATATTCGAAGGCCGATTCGGAAAGAGAACTACTGTTCCGAGATGCTTACCAGCGGCCGCCTTCAAGAGTTGCGCAAGAAAGAAAGAGATCGCTGAACAACATGTCGGGATCTCGATACAGCGTGATGTAATACAGATGTGCAAGCCTAGAGACGCATCCAGCACAAGGGGATCTATTCCAACAGTACGACCCTCAGTGAACTTTACGCTGAAAGGGCAGAGCGTCAGAACACCTCGGATCGGCTCTGAAGGATGGGGTGGTAAAGAAGGCTGGGATGTATGTTCCAGAAGACCTCTCAATAGATCATGTTGCATCCTTCTGCTTCTGAGTTACCTCGAGGGCTCCAGAAACCCAGGAATCCCCAAAAAACATCCAAACTCCGACGCCGACCTCACCCCCGACCCTTCAAAGATATGTCTTCTGTGAAAGCCTTTCTCCCGAAAGGCGAGACCACCTACTCGCTGAACCTAGCCAACCTGTAAAACTCTGTGCATCTCCCTCGCCCCCCTTCCCGTAGCCCCAAGCTCCAGGAACATCCTTGGCACCACCCCAACCAATTTCGAGCCGATGCCAGTGGCAGTGACAAGGGGCCCCCCAGACACTGCGAAAGGTACAGGAGGGGCCCGTCCACAAGAAACCTTCCACGAGAAACCCAACCCTCAGACCCCAGGACGTGCATTGGTTTTCGGAATGGGAACGTCACGCTTTCCGTAGCAAAACCATGGAAATCCAAGAAACCCCGGGCACCCTGGAGGCAAGCAGGGTGTTCCTTGGCATGGGTCTCCACCGTACGCGACACCCAGCGGCCCCCCATCATTGGAACGCCCTGCCTGGAGGCGGCCAGGGGGTGAGGCCACATCCACTCAGAATCGGGCCCCGGACCCTCCTGGATTCTGCCGGGTGCAGCTCTTCCCCCCCGATCCGTTCCTGGCGGCCCCAGGGGCCCGAACGAGACCGACAACGCCCGAAAGGCCTCCTCGAGCCCAATAGCCTCGAACCTCGCCCTCCTCCTTGGCGGCGCGCACAAGGGCGTGGGGGGGAAGGGGGGAGGGCTCCTTAGGAGCAGGCTGGTTCTTGGAAGGCGCCGGCCTCACATCTATAGACAAGGCCCGCGCCTTCTAAGAAGCAGGGGTGCTTCCCAAAAGCCCTCCCCCCGCCCCTCCCCCCACCCCCCTCTGCGCGTGGCTGACCCCCGCTGGTCGGAACCAACGCTGGGCCACCTCGGACACCCCGCCGGCTCCAGCGCCCCGCCGCGCGATCGGTGACCCTGCGCGGCGCGAGCGGCTTCCCTTTTGCGCGCATGCTCCTCCGCTCCGCGGGAGCTCTCTCGGAACACGACAAATCTTGCGGAGGCTCGGGCCGGGCGAGGGGGGGGGATAGCAACGGGGGGGGGTCGAGAATCAGCTCACGCAGCTGCTTTTCCCGGCGCCTCCCGGCGCCGGGAGGCGCCCATGTCTCGAGGAATGGGTCCCTCGGTGGGGCCGAAACCAGCTGCATGCAGCAAATCTCGCGACCCCCCCGTTCCCAATCCCCCCCTGTCGTCCGGCCCGAGAGGCGCCCCTGCCAGGGACGCGCGCGCCTCGCTATGGGCCAGTCGGGGCCACGCTGATCGGGCCGCGCACTCAGGCGAGTCGGATCGGCCGAGGGGGGGGGGTCACGGGAGGAGTTCGGGCGCGACGATGGGGGCGAATAATTAGCCCAGGGGAGAGCGATACATTTGTGTCCAGGGGCGCCGATGGTCCATGCCTTCGGCGAGGCTCCCCGGCGAATACGCGTCATGCCCGCCCCTGGGCTGTTCGCTCCTGTCGTCGCCTCCGAAGCAACAGGTGCACGCCAGAGTGGCCCTGGGCAAGAAGGTGACCTTTGGCACACGGCTCTAAAGGGGGGCCCATCCCAGCCATCCGAGCGCGCCAGCCAGTGCTGGCGGGAACCCTGTGTGCCCGCACCGGCGGAGGAGGAGGAGGAGGAGGAGGAGGAGGAAGACGAGGACGAGGAGGAGGACAAAGAGGAGGAGGAGGAGGAGGAGGAGGAGGAGGAGGAGGTGGAGGACCCCCTCACCCTCCAACTGATGGTGGTGGTGGAAAACAGGCCCATCAACTCTAGCGAAGGGTCACTCTTACGCGTAGCTGACAGCAACACGGGGTTGGCGAAACGGCTCACGCGGCTGGTTGTCTCCAGGCGCCAGAGGCGCCAGAGGCGCCAGTGTCGAGGAAGGCGCCCGGCGGCGGCGGCGGAACCAGCTGCACGCAGACGAGCCCGCAACCCTAGGAGGCCACTCGCCGAAGATTCGGTCGTCCCCACGGCGCCCAAGAGCGCGCAGAATGGACACGGTGCATCTCCCTCACAGAGCGCTAGTGGGCGCTATTGGGCGCTGTTGGGCGCCATCTGAGCGCTATTCGGCGCTACCGGGCGCACTCAGGCGCGCTTGGGCGCTGTTTGGCGCTGTTGAGCGGTGGTGGGCGCTGCTCGCAGATATACGCATTCAGCACAAGACGAGCGAAAGCTCCCGTATATACCCCCCTTTACAGAACCCCCCCTCTCGCGGGCGCGCAAACATGGATTAGCGATCCATGGAATTGCCGCGCGGTCGCCAGATCCATGGATCGGGGGAGGTGCCCTCCCCAAAATGCGGCCGGTGCCGCCTCGGTCGGTGGCGGAAATCCGCGAGTGCCCATGGAAACGGGACCCGTCGCTAGCCCACGCCCCTTTGATAGGGGGCCACATGCGAACCATACCCCTGCCCCCCACGACTTCTGAGGGGGAGGGTGGGGCTCGCTTCGCTCGAGGGCTCCCCGAACGAAGTGAACCCCACCCTCCCCCTCAGAAATCGTGGGGGGCAGGGGCAGGGTTCGCATGCGGCCCCCCATTTGATCCGTGCTTGCGATCGCCCCACGCCCTCGTCCGGCCCGAGGCGAGCAGCACGGGCGAGGGCCGCCCGCGGGCGGCGCCAGGCCGCCCCCCACGGCCCGCAAGGTCGCGCAGAAGCCGGGCTCGGGCGCAGGCGGCGCGAGCCTCGGAGCGCGCCTGTGCGCTGGTCCACCAAAAAGCCCCTCCAGCGCGGCGAAGGTGGTGCAGCGATGCGCGGCACTGACCGGGCGGGGCAGTTAAAATACACGCGCTGGGCGAGCACTCGGGGGCGTCCAAGAGAGGGGCGTCCAGGAGGGGGGGGGTGGGCCACATCGTGGCCGGCGGCACGTGCGCGGCCCAGGGGGGGGCTGGGGACGTGCCGGAGTGAAAAGAGGTGCCGTGAAATCCGGGGAGATACCATGGCCCCCGCTATGCTGCCCCCCCCCCTCTAGCCATCACCCCCCTCTTGGCCGCCCCCGAAACGCACGCCTTGAGGATCGCCGCAGCGTGGCGAGGGCCACCCGCGGGCGACGAGCGCTGCTCCCGGCCCGCACTGCTGCAGACCGAGGCCTCCTCCTCGCGACCCCCGCGCGCGGCGCGCCCCGCCGGCGCCCCGCGCCCGCGGGCGCCGGCGCTTACAAAGTTACAGGCCGAGACGAGGGGGAGCAGCGTGAAGAAGGCCGCCTGGACAGCGCGCACAGGGGGAGCGCAAGGGGGGAGGGGGGAGGGCTTCCTGGGAGAAGGCTGCTCCTCAGGGAAGGGCTTATCCTTCAGCCTTATAAACTCAGATTTCCTGGGTCCTGGGATTACAAAACTTTTTCAGGCAAGGGGAGAGGGCGCGGGCCCTGCATCTGCGGACGAGGCCTCCGCGCCTCCTGAGCAGCGGGGGTGCTTCTGCGAAGCCTCCCCCCCTCTCCCCACCCCGCTCTGCGCGTGGCCAGCTGCCTGCGGGCCGGCGTGCACGATGCCCTCCCCAGCCCGCGCCATCGAGAGGGCCGGGCCGGCCGCTAGCGCAGGTGGTGCAGAGCCTCGGCGCGCTTCCAGCCCACCGCCTCGGAGAGCTGCTGCGCGAACTCCAGGCTGACGCGCGCCCCGTCGCAGTCCGGGTCTGCCCCCGGCTGGTCCGTGCGGATGAAGGCGCCGAAGAGCACCTTCGCCTCGCGGTCCCGGTCGGTGGCGCCTCCCGGGCGGGCAGAGGTGGCAGCGGCACACGCGGCGGAGCGCGCCTCTTCCCGCGCCTCTCTGGGCGGCAGGGCTTCTGGGCGGCTCCGAGACGGATCCGGATCCGCCACCGTGCCCCCTCGCGCGCTGGGGCGTGGCAGAATGCCAAGTGCTGCCTGGCAGGGTCTCTGTCACGTTCTGAAAGAACCCCATCCCTCAAAAAACCATGGAGCCGTGCTCCCGAGCATCCAAGACGGCCGAGGCAGGCCACTAAGGCCACCAAGGTGGTCCAAGACGCCTCCAAAACGGCCTAAGATGGACCCAAGAAGCCCCAAGATGGCCTCAAGACTGCTGAACAGGCCACCAAGACGGCTCAAGAGGTCGACAAGAGAACCCCAAGTGGGCCCAGAAGAAGCCTAAATCATTGATTCCTCTGTTGTTTCTTGACAATTTGGGCGTCCTCTCGCCCATTGGGGCTCCTTCAGCTTAAGACGGCTCTAGAGGTTTCCACGATGAGCCCAACACGGTCCACGAGGGCACGAAAAGCTCTAGACGGCCCAGGACACCCCAAGAGGACCCCAAGCTGGCCCAGGAGCCCCTGGAGAGACTCGAGACTGCCTTGGAGAGCCCCTCGACGGCCAAAGACGGCCCTCAGACGGTCCAACGAGGACCGCAAGGGACCCCCTGACGGCCAAGAGGGCCACAAGACGGCCCAAGAGAGCCCCAAGACGGCCCAAGAGGGCTCCAAGACGGCCCAAAGTGGCCCCAGGGTGATCCAATGCTGCCCCACGGGAGCCCAAGACAGCCCCAAGAATGAACTCCTCATCAACAGCCTCACCATCATGGTGTTCCGCATCGCATTCGCCTACTACGATGCTCCTTCTACTCATCATGAGTTTCCTCCGTCTGTTCCTCCTCCTGCTCCTTACACAAACACACAAACACACACACACACACACACACACACACACACACATTCATCAGCGGTTCCTCCATCCTGCTACTCCACCCCAGAACGACACCTAAGGATCCAAGATAAACGCAAGACGGCCAAAGAGTGACATGTGATGGCTTCCTAACCGCTACTCCAGCCGCCACTCGATACACAAATTACGGCGTTATGCCGCCCATCAAACACTTGCCCACGAGACTACTAGGCTAGCACAGTGGTGGGACTTGCCGCATACAGCTAGATAATCGTCAGAGAGAACTAACGGCCACGCCATTCCGCCGCACTCCACCTCCCAAATAAAAAAATAGGGGCGCTGCACTGTGAGATCGCTAGCACGGGGCATTGAATACATGAACTCGAGGGGGCGCAGCATTTAGTAGTTAGCAGGCAGTAGCTAGTAGTCTACAGCTAGTAGCGACAACTTCGCAAAGTGTAGATCGTAGCTAAGAACAAGTAATTAGCAGCTTGAAATGAATAGCTGCTAGGTAATAGCTAGTGCCTAGTCGTAGTAGTGGAACCAATAAGAGCAATAATACTCGCAATACCAGTAGTAGTAGTACTAGTAGTAGTAGTACTAGTAGTAGTAGTAGTAGTAGTAGCAGCAGCAGCACCAGCAGTAGCAACAGAAGTCTTAGTAACAGTAATAATCAGAAAATTAATACTAATAGTAAGAGTATTAAAAATAGTAATAGTAATAGAAATAGTCATAGTCACAGTGATAGTGATAGTAATAGTAAAAGTAGTATTAATAGTAATAAGAATAATAGTAATAGTAACAACTAATAGCAATAGTAATAGTAATGGTAAAAGTAATCGTAATAGTAATAGCAATAGTGATAGTAATAGTAAGGCTGATAGTCATAGTAGTAGTGATAGTAATAGTAATAGCAATAGTCATAGAAATAGTAATAGTAATACTAATAGTAATAGTACTAGTAATAGTTATAGTAATAGTAATAGTCATAGTCGTAGTAGTAGTAGTAGTAGTAGTACGAGTCGTAGTACTAGTCGTAGTAGTACTAGTAGTAGTAGTAGTAGTAGTAGTAGTAGTAGTAGTAGTAGTAGTAGTAGTAGTAGTAGTAGTAGTAGACGTAGTAGTAGTAGTCGTCGTAGTAGTAGTAGTAGTAGCAATAATATTAATAGTAGTAGTAGTAGTAGTAGTAGTAGTAGTAGTAGTAGTAGTAGTAGTAGTAGTAGTAGTAGTAGTAGTAGTAATAGAGGTAGTAGTAATAGTGCAACTAGTAGATGTAGTTGTAGTAGTCGTGATCATGGTACCCGTATTATTAAAAGTAAACATGCAAATCATGAAAACGAGTAGTCAATACTAGTCGCTATCACTTAGCACGTAGTCCTGCTGTCGTAGTAGTTTCCACTTGGCGGTTACTAATCACAGCTGTTGATGTAGTGGAAGTAGGGATACCACTACTTGTAAGAGCAGTAGTAGTAGTAGGAGGAGGCGGAGGAGGAGGAGCAGTAGCAATAGAAGTGGGGAGATGGCAGGGTAGCGGTAGCTGAACGCATGCGCAAATCACGGCCGCATTTAGGACAACGATGACACTAACAAGAATGCATCTCTCCAGTCGGAACATTGTAAAAGCCCCGTACAAGAAGAGGATGACTATCAGTATGTGTATGTACAGATATGTGTATGTCCATACATATGGACATGTTCATACATATGTGTATATGTATATATATATATACATATGCATTTGGCGCTACGCGTCATGCAATTTGGTCCTCGCAGTTTGGCATGCGGGCGGATGTCGCGGCGTAAAAGCAGCAAAATAAAACCAAAAATTATCCTGGCGAAGGTCCCAACCATATGCAGTTGTGGGTACCGTAATTGTGAATATCTGCTTCGGTAAAGCTCCCTATGGGGCCACGAAGCGCTGCACTGGGCGGGGGCGAACGCTGTACTGTGTAGGTGGTGTGCCGAATTGGGTTTCCGGGACGCATGCGGACGGTCCCACTGAGGGCTTCGGTGGAGCTCCCTATGGGGCCACGAAGCGCTCTACTGAGTGAGGGAAAGTGCCAAATTGGGTTACCGGGACGCCTGCGGAAGGTCCCACTGGGGGCTTCGGTGGAGCCGCCTATGAGGCCACGAAACGCTGCACTGCGCGGGTGAAAATGCCAAATTACATTTCCCGGACGCATGCGGACGGTGGCACTGGGGCCTTGGGTGGAGCCCCCTATGGGGCCACGAAACGCTGCACTGAGTGGGAAAATGCCAAATTGAGCTTCCGGGGCGCATGCGGACGGGGGCACCGGGGCCTTCGGTGGAGCTCCCTATGGGGCCACGAAACGCTGTACTGGGTGGGTGAAACGCAGGAGGGAGGGGGAGGAGGGCCACGAAACGCTGTACTGGGTGTGCGGGACGCATGCGAACGGTAGCGCACTTTCGGTGGGGCTCCCTATGGGGCCACGAAACGCTGTACTGGGTGTGCGGGACGCATGCGGACAGTAGCACTGGGACCTTCGGTGGGGCTCCCTATGACGAAACGCTGCACTAGGTGTGCGGGACGCATGCGGACGGTAGCACTGGGACCTTCGGTGGAGCTCCCTATGGGGCCACGAAACGCTGCACTGGGTGTGCGGGACGCATGCGGACGGTAGCACTGGGACCTTCGGTGGAGCTCCCTATGGGGCCACGAAACGCTGCACTAGGTGTGCGGGACGCATGCGGACGGTAGCACTGGGACCTTCGGTGGGCCTCCCTATGGGGCCACGAAACGCTGTACCAGGTGTGCGGGACGCATGCGGACGCTAGCACTGGGACCTTCGGTGGGGCTCCCTATGGGGCCACGAAACACTGTACTCGGTGGGTGAAACGCAAGGAGGAGGGGGAGGAGGGCCACGAAACGCTGTACTGGGTGTGCGGGACGCATGCGGACAGTAGCGCTGGGACCTTCGGTTGGGCTCCCTATGGGGCCACGAAACGCTGTACTTACTGGGTGTGCGGGACGCATGCGGACGGTAGCACTGGGACCTTCGGTGGGCCTCCCTATGGGGCCACGAAACGCTGTACTGGGTGTGTAAAGCGCAAGGAGGAGGGGGAGGAGGGCCACGAAACGCTGTACTGGGTGTGCGGGACGCATGCGGACGGTAGCGCTGAGACCTTCGGTTGGGCTCCCTATGGGGCCAGGAAACGCTGTACTTACTGGGTGTGCGGGACGCATGCGGACGGTAGCACTGGGACCTTCGGTGGGCCTCCCTATGGGGCCACGAAACGCTGTACTGGGTGTGTAAAGCGCAAGGAGGAGGAAGAGGAGGGCCACGAAACGCTGTACTGGGTGTGCGGGACGCATGCGGACGGTAGCACTGGGACCTTCGATGGGGCTCCCTATGGGGCCACGAAAAACTGTACTGGGTGTGCGGGACGCATGCGGACGGTAGCACTGGGACCTTCCATGGGGCTCCCTATGGGGCCACGAAACGCCGTACTGGGTGTGCGGGACACATGCGGACGGTAGGGAGGAGGGGGAAGAGGAGGAGAAGGAGGAACGCGGGGACCGTCTCTTCAAAGCGAGGACCCAACACCACAGGATGTTTGGGAACAACAACAATGGTACCTCCTCATTGCCTTGTCCAACATCGCCGTCAAAATAATGCCATTCGTCATCCTTCCCTCATGCTTCCTTATCCGTTTCCTCATGGTGGTCATTCCCAGCGAAGTCTTCCCCGTCCTCCTCTGCTCTTTTTTGCGGAGGCTCCTCCTTGGAGAACTTCTTGGAGTCCTCACGAAGGTTTTACACGGCGTCTTCAGGCCTTCTGGAGGCCTCCTCGGCGCCTTTTGTGGGACTGTTGGGGTTTCCTCGGGCCACGTCGCTTCCAACTGCGGTCTCCCTGAGCGACCTGGTCACGATTTGGAACTCGGCGGGGGGGCGTTTGGGAGCCATCTTGGGCCGTCGTGGGGCCTTATTCGGGCCATTTTGGGGCTTGGGTCTCCTGGACTGCCTGGAAGCCCTGTCGGGTAGTTTGGGCGTGATGCTGGATCCCTTTGGGCGGCCTCGGACGCCTGGAAAACCGAAGAACTGAGCATTCCCAAAATGAAACACAAAACCATT